TTACATAAGTAAAGACATAGACCGCATTAAAAAAGTTAAGTTAATATAATAAAGTAAAAATTAGGTAAGAAACCATGAAATGCACGGACCCTTGAGTAGAAGTACTGATGCCTCAACTTAAATCTTTATACAAGGGTTTCTGAACTTTCTAGTTAGATGCTGCATCTTAATAATGTCTTTGGGGTTTTTAATTTTATATGTTCATTCTGTGTTTCGGGGTTTGTTTACTACGACTTTTAAAATTTAAAATCAATTTTAATCAACGAGTTAGTCTGAAATCTCTTTACTTAACAAACGTATTCGATGGGTACCCAGTGACCGGGGTCATTAAATCAATCTATTTAACGAACTTAAAGAGCCTGCCTGAACATTAGACATACACTTATAACTATTTATTACTATTTGTACACACAAGCACAATAAATAAAAAAATCCACCGTTACTTCCTTACATTAGAACTGAATAATATAAAAAATAACAATAGTTACAATTATTTTCAAGGGATTTTTTGTACGGTTCAGTAGAACTTACAACAGCACTTGACGGCCGAATTTTTATATACGATCTTAGGAAATATACACAAATCCCGAACAACAAAATACATTCCTCAAAATGATCTGTTTCCCAACGATTATGAATCTATAAATGTATATTATTTTTTCATCATCATAAGCATTCACATTCGAGGTACTTTTTACTTTGACCCACTCAAATAATGTTGGTTGTGTTAACTGAAGTGAACTTGTCGATTTGCATCGTTAGCTACAACTAGTTAGTCTTAACTATCTCGTTAATTAAGCCACACGGGAATCATTACTTAAAAAAATTAATATTGAAAACTAAAACTAGATTTCCAAACATTACATAAAGCGTCCAAAAAACGTTAAATAAAAAGAAGACTTTAAAATTACTGGATTGAGTATTTCATACAAGGAACGAAGGAAGAAAAACGAGGCTTGGCGCGACGGCAAGTTGTTGGGGTGGAATTTTAAACAGGTGAAGTTTGGTAAACATGAAAATCCCGGAATTATCAAGACCCGAGGTAGAAAGTTGGGTGAGTTGTTGATAGCAGACAAGAGTTATACAGTAATTATTCTCTTATCTGTGGACCATAGTCAATATACACCATTGTACAAATTAAGATCGACACTAACACACGTTATTATAAACAAACTAACATATTTTTTAGATTCATCTAATTAATGACAATTTTACTATCTTTGGACCCGTATTTGGACCTCTTCCTTGAAAACCGTTCAAAGTTCTAAAGGCTTAGGCACATCTTTTACTATTACAAACCAAAAAAATTAAAACATAAATGATCCATAGATTCTAGATCTAACTGTTTTTGTTAATAAAGATAGTTAACATTGTGAATATTATATCGTTTACTGTACAAAACTTGTACAAGGACAAATATAAATTATGAGTAAAATGAACAAATATTAACGTAATAAGAGTTGCAGTTGAGCTTTTCATTTTTATACTCATGCCCATCATTGATATATTTTGTAAACTTCCCTTATGTAACCAAACAAAGTCGTCTATGCCAAAACTCGAATGTTAGGTAGGGAAATTTAGGAAATTATGAATCGCCACACTTGTTAGGACTATAAACAAGTTTCCTTCTGGTTGAATTTTAATATTATAAGATAATTCTACACAGCCAAATTTCAGTTTTCTTTTCTTTATTTTACTTTACTTTATCAAATGTTTAGATTTAATGCATAAATGAAACTCTATTTGCGTTTGTTCGCTCATTTGAAAGATGGTTGATTTATTTTTTTGTTGGAAAATACGTTGCATATATTAAACATACATTTTTAAATTTTTCTCAATGTTTTTTCATTCTCTATTTACGAACAGAAATGTTATAAAGAAGTAAGGTGACTGTTTGTCTGTGTATGACCATTGACTATGTAGGTATATATATATATATATATATATATATATATAGTCAATGGTATGGCATAACACAAAACTTACCATACCAATTTAGTTGAGAACTTTAATCAATACTGGACGCATCTTTCTATTTTGCAATTCACCAAGTTCTCCATCCCCCTTACTTTCAAATTTCTGAGATGAGGTATAGGAGGTAAATATTGATTGGTTTCCATGACAACGACATGATTAATTGAAATTTATACATTAGCTTTGTTTACACTATTCCTATTATTTTCATTTAACACTGTCACTCAGATTATAAAAACGAATTAAATGTGGTAGGTTCTATTATTCTTTGGTAATTTTATTGGTTTGAAACAAAGGTTCTTTTCATTAACAGGAGTGGTAATGTTTTAATGGATTTAAAGGCCCTGCTCATCATTATTATCATCATTTATATTATTTTATTTCACGACTCTCTTTTATCAACCAATTGAGCGATTTTCATGGTTTTTGTGTTAAAAGAAAGATCATTTTGAGAACTAGGGAATGTCGATGCCATAATTTGGGTTTAGGGTTTCAGTTTTTTTTTAGAAATTAAGTTTTATTTTTAAATTCTAGCAGCCAACACTAACATTCTATACTAGCCTTTGGTTTGATACCATTTCCTTAACGTAACAGCTGTAAACATTTAGAGTTTGTGACACAAATTCAGCATTTGGATAAAAATGAAATGACATACGTAGAGTTGACTTATTTATACTATGTGTGATGCAATAATCATTGATACGTTAATTTATACGGTAAAAGGACAACAACGGATTATTTAAATACAGTATACAGTAAAATACAACATATAATGATGAACAAACAACTATGGTTGACTAGAATCGCTGAAAGCTATTGCTCCAGCTAATCGCAGGTACAATGTATACTTATATTTCACAAATATTAACAAAAGTGATATCTTCTACATTCTAAACTTAGATGTTTAAAATTCAAGCCCAGCAGCTATGTACCTGACTCTCCGCACGTATTATTCTGGTCGCGGATCTGAGCTAGTCATAAGCTAGATACTTTATTGGTCTTGAGAGCAACAAAACTGTCTTTAGATCACAAACCTGATATAACTAGAGTTTGAGATCCTGATGGTAACTAGGCAGTTTAGGAATAGGATATGTTTACATTAGAAAATTGTACTACCTAAAATAACCATCATGTTATATACTTTGAATTATGTGCCAATTGTCCAACTATTAAACTTGAGTTTTGCTCCAATAATTTCGACCCTGAAACCTTGTTAAATTCTCCACGTGGTATTCATAGAACACCATTCTTCAATTTAGATAACGCAACTAGCTTTCCACACCTTAAATGTTGTGGACAAAGTGTCTTGTTATCTGAGTTTAAATTGGATTTAACGAGGAGCTATTTATCCCAATTAGAATACATGACCAAACCTTGTAAATGTGCTTTGTGAGGTGTGATCGAAAAAAAGGGTTATATTTTCTACGATTTTAATGCAATTACAGAACAGAATATTTTACATCACGTTGTAGTAAGTTATAAACGCTATCAATAATTGATGTTAAATATCTTGGAATCACGAACATTAAGACTTTTAATTCTATAAATAGCTTTAATGTGGCACCAAAATATACAAAGCTTTAAACAAATGCATTATACTTGTAGAATGCAAATGTGCTGAAAATACCTGATAACCAATGAAGAAAACGTAATCAGATGGAAATGGAACAGGATAATTCATATAGCAAATTGCTCGGATGACAACACTTGGGGTGATCAACAGGATACAAAGTCAAAGACATTGGATGGACGGGTTAATTAATTATGCTATGATCTGTTTTGCCCCCTTGATAGGATCAGGTAGGCCTATAAATAGGGTGTGACAAATCCTCGTTTTGAATGAACCGGCAGAAGCATACTTCGTTTAAATATGTACAATCTGTTTCCTTTTTAATCTAATGATACCTTCACAAAGAATTTTAAAATCAAATTTGTATTTCCTTATGATATTTTTTTCTTATGATAATGTTTGTAGGCACTAAGGCTTACAAGCTGTCCTATGAATTTTGTTTGATTCAAATGTTAATAACAAGACATAAAATAGAACTTAAGCGCTTCACCCTCTGATGGTAGCTCATTCCTATGTGGGATAACCTCCAAACATAGGTTAGTTCAAGTTGACTTATCATTCAATTTGTCAAATCAGAACTTTAAACGTTTGTCGGGTTCGTCTTGATCACGATTTTGTGCGTCTTGTCGACCTAATGTTTATCTTTTATTTAGTTTAGTGCTCGATTTTTCAATTTAAGTTTTAATCTTAGGTCATAATGCCACATAATGCCAAAGGACAATCAACCGCTTACACTAAGATTCTTATAATCAGTTAAATAGTCGTTCAGGTGATTAAATTTCACAAACAAATAGTTAACAGCACAGCACATTCTAAAAACTCCAAACAGAAATTTAAACCTATTAGAGGTGTTCCTAGGACATGAATATGAAGAAAGCACCATTTTAATATCGATGCATACGGTTACCATACACGATATTAGTAGCGTAGCATCAAGAATTTCATGAGAATTATTTTTAAGTTATAGAATCCTTTTCACACTAGGCCATATGGTGTCAACACCGGTGGCGCTAATGCTACGTTGCATTACCATTGATTTAAATGAGACAGTTTCACACTGAGCGTTGGAGAAATGCGGTGGCTTGGGGTTGCGATTTTCAAAGCCGCCAATCTGGGGGTACCACTCGGCTGTTCACATTGGAGCAACTGGCAACGCCACCGGTCGCTACCACCATAGATAAAAGTACCACCAGCATTACTCAGTCTACAATTCGAGGTATTTTTTATCTTTCAGGCCTGGAGGCGTCGTAGAAGCTCATCAAAACTTAAAACACCCATTCTTGTAAAGGTAAAAATTGTCAGAATTATTTTAAAGGTCTTGGTAGTGAGTGAGAAAAATCCCTCTGGTAATCGATCTCTTAAAAAAGGATTAACCCAACTGCAATGTTTTTTTCTAACGATTGCGCAGTAAAAAAAAAAAAATACGCTATAGCACCTGCTTCTTTGACGTCCATGATTAAACTTTGAGCTGGGTGGCTGCACTTTTGGCTGAGCTGGTGACCCACGCACATTTGACTGGCCACCATAGTAACACCACCGGTGTCTCCACCATGGTGGTCCAGTCTGAAAAGAGCCTTAACTGAAAGCAAGTCGAAACCTAAAATCACAGTCAAGGATTAGTTGTCCTTACAAACAAGTTGCACTCACCAAAGTCCGGACTCGCACCAGACACACGCTGGGGATGGTCTTCTGTTTGTCCAGGAGTCTGCTGAACCTCTCGGCGCGCTGGCTGCAGGTGAGGGGTCGACGAGCGTTGGGTGGTGGCCCGGGGGGTGTAAGGGGCAACTTCCTGGTCCTAGGGACGGGCACGGGCCCGGGGGAAGTGACGGTAGACAGAGGTAAAGTCCGCGCGATCACCGACTCCATGCTGGACGATTGGACGCCGTGGCCGGAGTACTTCTTGAGATTCATGAGGTCGCCGAAACTGCCTGTTAGAGCACCGGAACCTGGACACGGGCCCGCGGACACGTCAGAACATGTTCGGTTGCTTTTAAATATAAATCTACCTGTTTTATAATTAGTATTCTTGGTGGACCTATCATTCGAGCAATCAAATTATTTGGCTCCCAAACGTTTCATGATTTGTATGACCTTGGTTAAGCAAAATAAGAAAAGGGTGGTTTTATATTCATGAAGTGATAAAAACCCAAAATAAAACCGAATCAAACCGTAAATAATACTTCTATTCGTCTCTTTTATGAAAATCTCACCTGACCGTTAACATACAATATTGGTCTAATCTGTGGCCTAAACCTGTAAGCAATCCAGGGGTGACTACAATTTTAAAATATTGCAGCCGGTCTCGAACCAGCTATGTCTAACTTTCAACTCAAACTAAGCGTTTTAGTTTATTTAAAACTCAGATAGGGCAGTCGTAGACTGGCTTATCCATCCTGTGTGGTTCCATAAGCAAAACATGTTTGTGCAAAAAATGCTAATGTAACTTGACACCATACTTTAAAATTAAGCAGTTAATATTCTACATGTGGAATAAATAATACCGCAAAACGTATTCGGAAATTCTCGCATTGTTAGCTGAAAAAAAACTCACTAACCTTATACCAATGTACTGTAGTTGTATCAACCAAGAAATCATTTAAGGTACTAAGCATAAGGTTTAGTTTAGTTTTATTTCTTTAAGTGATCACTTCAACACATTGGCAGGCTTCCCTTTGTTTCGAAAAATTACCAATACTTAAGCATTAAAAATTTCTTTCAAATTACAATTGGAAGTGACATAGTTTTTATTGAGGTAGGCTTTATCGAGACAGTAGCATTTGTTTACGAAACCAATATATATCCTTTCATTATAACATACATTTGGGACTAAATGTATTTTATTAACTGATACTATTTAATCGTTTCATGACAGTATTAATTTCATTGATAAATGGGCTTTTGGAAAAAAATATTAAAACACACAGAGCGAAAGAAATTAAAAACTGTTTACATTGACGGAAACTAAACGGAGTAATAAAATTGAGAAAAATGTAAATTCCTTCTTTTATAATATACTGCATTATACCATCACCAATTATTATCATACTATGGTTAAAAATGGTCATGGTTTTAATCATACCATTTACTTTGGATAGAATTACTCACACGGTCTTGTAACATTTAAGGTTTTTGTGTTTTATTTTCCGGTTGCGTTAAAATTGACACAGTTTCACAAAATGCTGCTTCCTTCTCATAGACAGTAAAAAAAAGAGTAAACATAGTTTTAATTTGATAGTAATTAAGGTATTAGTTTGGCCAAAAACAAGTAACAAAACACAAAAACAAATACCGGGCAGACATTACAAATTGTCTTTATCAAATCAACAAGGATCACAAATGTAAGGCATGGTGTTTTATCTTCATGCTTTACTATTTTAAAAGCAATTGGGTGTGCTTTTAAGAAATGATATAGTATAATTTATAGGTATTGATAAGCAAAGATTATCATCTTACTTGTCGTAATCGAAAAGAACGATGTAGCTGACGTGTTTTCCTTTTATGTATTATTTCCAAGCAATCAAAATTGCCACAACAAAACAACTACAGTTTTACAGAACGTAATCAATATAAATTTATAAACAAAGACTTTAATGAAAAGACATTTTAACACACAATGTTCAGCAAAGCGAAGCCAGCAACGATAACTACCCTGGTATCGGATTACCAGCTTTGCCTTACCTAACCGCTACAGCGTTAACTACTTTAAACTACAGTATTTACATTGACTTTGGATACCGAAAGGAAACTTTTCGTTTCATTGTTAAGTCTGAAATGTCGTGTGTTTCACTTTTGGTTAGGTTTGCGAGCAATGATGTCATCTCAATATATATCCCTTGTTATAGCGTAAATTTGACACTGTACTCTTTATTCTTTGGTTGTAATACGAGATGAAAGCAATAGTTCATAGAGAGTGGTCGTTTTTTATTGGTTAAAACATCTCATAGGTATGATTAAAATACATTTTCAACCGCTATAATATAAGTTATATAATAATAATAAGCTATATTATACGCTGATAAGTGTATAATATACTAACCACTTTGGTGTCGGTGCTCATAAAACCTAAACGTTAATACATTTAGTTTATAGACCAAGTGGTTTTTATCTTTTAATAGTATATTTATATTATAATGTGGTGAAAAACAGCGTTTGCACCTCAGGTAACAAGTTTTCTATGAAGTCCTTAAATTATATTAAATAAGATATAACAAGATGCATTACTCATTCAACCATTGTTATCGCCGAAGTAAAATATAAACAAAAATATAAACATTCCAGAACAAAAATAGAACCCGTGTTGTGTTAAGAAAGTTCTCGATGATGTCTCGAACCTATCACGCAAACCTAACCTCATTTTAGCGAATTTCCCCTATAGGGAATAAGCTTTCGGCTATTTTGTATCTGGTTTATTAAAAGTGTTATTCTAAGTTAGAAGACACTTGTATACAATGGATTTCAGGAAACATCTTTATTTAATGTACACAAGAGGAAAATCCTGGTGAATTGAAATTAGGGCACGTATTCTGAATACGACACGTATTCTGCAAAACACTCATGATAGCTTGAGAGAGATATACATGAGATATTTATAAAAATACCGATCAGGACAAGCGCATGTCTACAAGTTATAACTTTCAATTAATTAAAAAAAGGTTTTCAATACTAAGGTTAAAAAAGTAAAAAATGACAATAACATAGAGCCTGTAATGCTGGATAAATTCGGAACAACATCATACCATCTATAACGCCATACTGTTTTGATATTAACAATAGTATAACCTAAAAACATAGATTCAAATTTAGCTCAAAATTTTATCACAGTAAAGTCAATTCATTTCAACACAGTGGTGGTGAAAGCATTTGTAGAAAACAGGTAAAAATCTAAATTTTGATCTCTAGTTACTTGATTTCCAACTTTTCTACCTTAATCTATGCTAATCTACCGCTTTAAAACTGATAGGCTATAGCCTACAGACCGGCCGACCCCAGCTTGTGGTCAGGCAGTTACTTTACTGTATTAGTTCATCGCAAAGGTTAGAGGATGGTAGCTTGCACAACAAATTTTGCGTTTGTAACAAAAATCTACCAAAGCAAACTTTTACACTTTTAGTTACGCGTTCCTCAGTTTTATCCAACTTCATCTATGATAATCTAATCCAGAACCTATACCTATATACAGACCGGCCAATTGGCAACTACAGTTACTTTACTGTATTTAGACTATCGCAAAGATTAGTGGTGACAAACCGTTGAGGTAATCAAAACAATTAAATAACAAAAACCAAAAAGCCACAGAAAGTCTACATGAAATCTCCAACACTATAAATTTTAATCACACAAATCTATAACTTGCCCGTTCTTTATGTGGTTTCCGACTTTTTCCGCCTATACACTAACCTACAGCTCCGAAACTTATACAGACCGGCCAACCCCAGTTTGCGGTCAGGCATCGTCCGCGGGCTCCGCAGCGTGTCCAGGTCACTCATACTGGACCTCCGTCGTGACCTCAGCCTGGCACTGGAGGGCGGAGGCTCTACCTCCTCCTCCACCTCCACCTCGGGCACCTCGGCCAGCGGTGACGTCTTCACCATCATCAGCGACGGCTTCAGCGAGAAGAACAGTCCCATGGTTGTGTTCTTGTCTCCCATGGTCACCCGCACATATCACAATGGTGAAACGTCCACAGTTCGGAAGTCTGTCTCTGGAGGTAGTTAATGTTGCTTAACTAAGTTTGATCCGATAATTCCACGTGTTATGGTGATGTGTCCGTAGCAGTTCTTAAGGTTGTCTCAGGTCGGAGGTAGTTATTTTGTATCCCTGAATGCGGATATAGAGAGTAACACTAATTAGATTATATATGCCGTCGTTAATTTTCGCAGTTAGAATAAAGACTGTGTAATTAATATGGCTTTTGACTAAGTGGCCTACTAACCAGTGATGACTAACCACCCAAGTGACCCACTAATAGTGGGCTGGCTAGTGACCTGGGTAAGTGATCCTGAATAAAGAATCAGCGAGTCTTTGCTAGTAACATTTTTCACGTCACTCATGTTACTCTAATCGATACAATGGTGTATTGGTTTCGCAGAACAGTGACACAGTCTGGTTCATCTTTATATGAATCAAATTATCAACGAATAACTCAATAAGTCAACTTTGAATCGAAATATATTCAAATTCTTATTATATTGCATTAAAATTTATAGGGCATAGATAGTTGATGTGTCTATGCGTTTAGCATAACAAGATAAGCAAGGGCTGAGACCCACGACCCTTTTGCATTAAAAGTACAACTTAATTACTCTGCGACCCCGTTTTACTAATTCCGGTAACAAAACTCCGCTGAGAGAGCAACTATTTGATGCAATTAGTTGAGATACACTTGTTATAACAGTTAGAGCAAAGAAAGATTCCAGGAGCTCGTTAATTTAGTAACCAAAATGTACTACATCTTCCGATGTTACCACTAATTGCAGAATTAGTTTACATATGTTATTTGTTGTTAATTTAATTACATGCATTTAATTGTTTTAAATAGATTCTAACTAATGCAAATGCTAGTCGGCGTAAATAAATCTTAAGCGCGTTTCTAACGAGGGATTTTTATAGACCAAAAGATTTAAAATTGAAAATTGTGAGTTATTAAATTACGAAATACAGTATATTTGTACTGCTGTACTTCCTATTATACGCCTACACGTTGATAAAAATAGGAAGTGTTGCTTTCGTCAAAGGTTTGGAGTTTGCGTTCGGTACAACTATTTGGGAACACTAGGCTACCTAATAAATTTCATTCTTTTAGTTTTTTCAAGATTGCAAAAATAATAATTCGCTATATTTTGTGTGTAAAGTCAGCTGGTTCAGGTTAAAGATCATTATCATCATGGTATCCATGAAATGTCCCTGAAATCACTTGAGCGCATATTTACATGGTAGAGAGGATAGTGTACGGTCGTAGGTTATGCTTTCATGGGAATAGATTCTGAAGAGTATTTCCATTTTAGAAGATGTAGGGTCCTAGGCACATTTTCAGCGTTCGATCTAGGCTTAGAAAATGTCTTTGGAAGTAGGTTTTAGTTTCAAGAAAAAGGTGGCCGGTAAATCTGTCCGGTGGAAGAGAATTTACATTCAGATTGTCCAAAGTTCTGTCTAACTCTAAGCGTAGGAAACGCCAATACAGTTCTACGATAGATGATTTAAAAGATAATTTAGGCCACACATCGACCCAAGATTCTAGCGAGACTGAGACTAATAAAATGTAGAACTAAATAAGTAAGGATCAAATTGTTTTTAGGACAATAATGTGAAAGATTATTATTTTTAAGGGACAAAGTTCGTTAAACACAACCATTTTTTTAAGACAGCGACGTAATTTGTGTACGCGTAAAAAACTGTTAGATAAATATATGAGTAATTAAGCATGAGTGTAAAATAGAGTAGGGTGATCTCTGTAGCTTAGTTACTGGATAAGCATAGTAGTTTATTTAGCCAGGATCACTTAAAAAGTCCAATATTCAAGGATAGCTGGGCCCAGTTTCGAACCATCAACATACTACCGACATTTCTCAAAACCCAAAACCGAGCCGGTGACATTATGATTGTTAGGTGAGCACTAAATTCCCTCAAACGCATGAATATATTTTACTAAGTTTCCCTAGACCGAAATACTGAAAAGCGCCAATCTATCTTGGATTCTCTCGTTTACTGCACCATGACGTGTATGTAGTGTGAACAGCTGTGAGCAGACTACATGTGCGGGTTTGACCCACATAACACTGATAACTACCGGACGTGGCTACACAGCTGATAAGTGCTTGCCATGTAGCCGACAGTCGTCAACAGATATTGCTCATAAATAATTAATTGTATAAAACTATCTAAAATACAAGTGGCACCCAATAATCGAATAATCTGACACTTTGTAGTACGACTCACTTTGTATATACTGACATAGAGCTTGGCGAGTTATCGGGGGCAATAGAGGAACGGTATAGGGTAGGTACTATAACTACTATATATTATACTCGAATTATGTATTTTTTCGGTTCCGTTGACCGGCGGACCTTGCAGTTTGTCCACAAAGTTAAAAAGTTAAGTGTCCCAAGCTATTAAAATTAAAATTTCCCCCCAAACTTTCTAAGCAATCTTTAAAACTATATTTTTAAAGAAAAAATAATCTCACACCCTCAGTTTTCCCGGTACGTGAATTTTATGTAGGCCTATGGTAAACTATATATATGGTTGCATTCAAAATCATCTCACGAAAAAGGTGAGGTTGGAAATTTCAAACAATATCTTCCACCTTAAACATTTTCAAGGAACCATATTTTGACATTCGATTATTGTTTGGAGAACGTAAAGGAATTTGTATTTGAAACATGAATAAACTACCATGAGTTATTTTTGGACATTAAGGTAGTATTCACTTATGCATTAACACTAAATTTATTTATTGCAACGAGAAAATTTTTTTTGCCGAACTACGTAAAATTAGTTTGCTCAGAAAAATGTAGTCATTTATTCAAATCAGAGTAATGAAACAGACACACTACACTGTGTATACAATCACCTTAATATGACAGTTTGTCTGTACCAGTAAAAGAGCTACTCATGAAACTCAATTTCAAAGTGTATTGGGATAGAGTAAACATTACTACGATTCTGTTTAATTTACATACATTTAAATAGTTCAAACGACGTCGAACTGTAGTCTTATGAGTTGTTGTTTTTACTGTGGTTAAAATCCGAGACAACGTAATGCTACACAATGTAATAACTGTCAAAAGCAATGAATAAAATAAAATGTTACGTGTTTATTTATACGAGGATTGTCAAAAACAAAATAATGTCTTTTAATGTTGACTTTGAGAATATTTCCACTTTAAGCTTTCGTAAAGTAAAGCCAAGACGTTTACAGACGTCAATGTGTGTGTAGGAAACACTAATACGGACTTTCCTACCAAAGTTTCCTCGTTTTTCCTGGTCTGCGGGAAAATTTAACAACCCCTGTGGGAAATAAGTGCGTTTCCAAAAATTTTACCTCCGGTAATAATGATAAACATGTTCAAGCGGTATCGGCCTTATCTTTAATTTGAATAAATTTAAATGTTTAACCAAGGGAGTTGTTTACTAAAATGAAAAGAAAATATACCTAGTAAGTTCATAATCCAAATTGGAGGTGTAATTATAAATCTCAATAATAGTTCGTTTAAGAATATATACAAATGTATTTAAAAAATATTATTTGTCGAAGTAAATTTTCCTTTTTGTGATTTCAAAAAATAAGGCACGACTTTGTAGCTAGGATAATTTGACAAAACAAACTAAGCTTTTGAGCCCTGTGTTCCAATTTGCTATCACGACGACTGTTAAGATGAACAATAACAATTACGTAATAGTAATTACCATGTTCTAATTAACCAGCGTAATAGTTATAGTTCCACTCATTTTCTAATCCTGACAAAACTATTAGGTACCTATGTAACTGTTTCGAGTTTTTGCGTCCGTTTAATTACAGTACCATTTCATTATCATACGAGTACTGTACAGTATTACCGTATTACTAAGCTTGAAAAATCAGGAAGTCGAATATAATTAGTTTATTTCTCTTTATCTAAATAGAGATGTCAATCTTTTTAATCAATGACTTTGTTATGTAACGATTTTCAGTATCAAAACAATATTTGATCCGTTGTACCTTTTATCATAAGGTTCGACTTGTTATGAACATATTATTCGGGGTAAACCAAGGAAAAAATATTGTAAATACTACAATAAAACCGGCATCATTTCAGACAGTATCTGAGATATTTTAGCGAATTTCCACTATAGGGAAGATTGACTGTACACGTCTACGGGCAGGAAAGTTGTACCCTACATTCAATGCTATTACCGTATGTGAGTAGGCATGGGTAAGACCTAAACCCGGGACAGTAAGTAATAGATAAGAGCGATTTACAGTACTTATAGATTTTGGATTAATTACTATTTATTTTTGGTGTCCTCAGGGGCCAAAAACGCTATTACTTTAAATTAAATACTCAATTTCTAAATGTTTACCCTTGAACATAAATTTCCTAATTTTCATTACTGTTACTGTATAAAGCTTAAAAATAATTATGTATATTGAAGCGTTATTGTACAACTAAAGTTTGCGGGAAAACATGAAAAAAAACTTTTAAAATTTTTAGGTTATACTTACTTATGGGGACAAGGTAAGCTGTTGTAGATGGTTTTTAAGTATATATTTTCATCTAATTTGGCAAATTTATTTATTTGATAGTAAATAAACAATTGAAATCTGACCGTAAAATCCACCTTATCTAATGTTATTTAAATAGGGAATAAATCTGACAGTTGTATATGACAGTACTTTTTTGTGAAAACCGAATCAGAAAATGAAAATTTACTAAGCCTGTAGGTTTGCTGTGGAGGGAGGGGGTTTGTACATTTTGGCATAGATACTCCCTTAGTCTTGTGTTGCTTAGTCTGTGATTTTGGTTACTTTGTAATGATACCGTGATTATGACGTGGAAACCAATTAATGATCGGGAAAACAACGGTTAATAGAAAGTGTTTTAAGTAAAAGACTGTTGTAAGCCCAGTGTTACTGTAAATAGCTACGATTTCTATTCATACGTATACTGGA